TTCGCTTGTATATGCTTTAATATTTCAAATTTCAAATGAATTCTACATCAGATTGAGCGTACTCGCACAAGAGCGATTATTATTTCGCGGAGGCAACGTTAATTCCGGATAATGACGCTCAAATTATTAGCGCCGAAAAATATCGCAGCGTTTCATGTGCGATTCTAAGCATTATATCTCCACCTACGCAAAACCATCGTGGTAAGCATCAGCTATTGCGAATGTATTATATACGTGCTTAGGAACATTATTTCGACTTTACACCCAAATTAGTCGGTGGTTTTGCACGAGTCATTTATATGAAGTTTGCGTAGAAACCATAATAATGTTTGCTGCAATGTTTACATGGACGAAATATCAAATGGAAAGATATCGAGTTATTACGCGTTAAATTCTACAAATTAATACGTAAAATTGTAGCTTTATTACATAAAGCTCTCTGCATATATTTGTAATTTTATTATAAATATTAATATTAAATTGGAAATCAGTTTAATTTAAAAATGTTCTATTATTTATAAATCGTCGTATACACTTTTTAATTAAAAAATAATGTATAGTTGTTATTAATATCAAATGTCTTTCTATTATGCTTTATCTTGAATGTCACACACAACTTTGGAATAGTCGTTTTAAATTTAATAGTTTGGAGGGGTTTTATGGCTTTAATTTTTCTGAATTTTATTATGTAATTTTTTATCACGGAATTATATACAATTGTATTGAAGAAATAAAAGATTTTAACAATATTTAATTGATAAACATGTAACGTAATTATGGTGACAGACTCGAAGAAAAAATTAGTATATCAATAATTACGATGTCCGTTTTTATCACGACACATTTACTAATAGAAATCATTTAGAATGTGTCAAGTTTTCGCGGTAATTTTTGCAAGACGGTAAAACCTTTTTAAACAGCATCGCTGCCAGTGATTTTCGCTGCCGTCAAGAAACGCCGAAGAAGAAAGGAAAAGGAAAGAGAGACGAGACTTCGTCGGGAGACAGAAGCGTTGAAGGACGAAGAGGTAGAAATATGAAGTGAGCATATTACTATTGAGAATAAGTACCTGGCTTCGAGACGGGTGCTCTGTTCCGGAGAGAAGGGCATGGAGCAATGGGGGATAGTCGGTGGGGGTGTAAATGGGGTGGCACAATGGGCACTAATGGATCTCAAGCCGCCGCGAGAGGCGCTGCTTTTAATCTAATTGTCCTTCGTAACAACCGCGATCGCGATCAGTGGTATTCAATTGTGATCCTTCATCTACACTGAAGCATTTTGTAAAAAAAGTAAGAAACGCGGATAGTGGAAATCTGTTGAAACAGACGGATAAGCGTTTAAAGCCGCAAATATCTTTTTTTTTTTTTCGAGGGAGAAAGTGACCGCAATTATACGTGCCTTGTACATATAACATGTTTCTAAAAAAAATTATTAATTTATAATTTATCTTTTGAAATAAGAATATGAAACCTATTTATACGCAGAATTCATAAATTATATATCAAATATCTTTAGATTATGATTTGCAACGTGAAAGAAAAAGACAAAGTATAAAAGAAACATTAGATTTTTTGTTCTTTAAAAAATTTTAATTTATTTTATTATCACAATCAATACAAATTCTGGATTATAAGATTGGCACTTGAAGAGGACAAAATCAATTGTCGAAACGTCTGTATAATTTTTTTGAAGAATACAATTTTACACACACTTTACAACTTGTGACGGCTCACATAGGCTTATTTACCTTCTCATATTTAAATTTGGAGCCTTTGAATATTAATAATTATTATTAAAAACATTTATCACCGTAGATTTGTTTAGCACCGTAGATTATCAGTATTCTCTAATGCATGTTATTTCTTTGTAAAAAAGGTTAACGTATTTGTGCCGAATATCCCAAAGACGCTGCGAGATTGCAGGACCAAAACCGAAATTTAGCGATATCGTCTAACGGATGAAATCGGGGCGAAGTGGACCTTGAGCGTTTCTTTCTCCTTCTTCTAGTGGTTCCATTTAGCGGAACCTTGCGGCATTATGCGGCACGGTCGTTGAGCTAAAACGCAAGCGGAACATTTCGAAAGCGTGCGCGTACTTCACCTAATGTGGCAATACAAAATGTCTGCGCTGTTTCTCGAGTGCGCCATCCTGAGTTTCTTCGCCTAAAAACCCGCGAAGGTGGGCACCTACTCATCGCAACAATCCGATGTTGCCATTTGTGTCGACATTATACGTATGTTTATATATAAAATATTTTATATTTATAATTGATATAAATAATATTTATAAATGTTATTATATGCTATATTAATTTTTTCTAAATAATTATTCGAAATAATTATAAGAAAAGTCGCCTGTGAGGCTCGAATCCTTCAAAATGAAATATCATTCACCCAGCCGCACGCTATCTGTGTACTTTATCGAGTCCGTGCGGATCGCGCGTCCCAAGCAGGTGGTGCAATAATTACCTTCCCGTGCGATAACGCCAGGCGATAACGTTAACTCTCGCATTCGTCGCGCGGCCTTCGCCCTTTGCGACAGATAAATTTCTGATAACGCGGATAAATTGGCCGGATTATAATTGCCGTTGTGCGTGTTACCGGCATTCACGTCGGGATGCGCCCGTTCCCGCCCACGAGCGAAATTCACTTTCAACGGCGGAAAACGCGGAGCCCGGGTTGAAACGGGACAGAGTGGAAAGGGGGGTTGCGAGAGGCGGGGGCGCGCGGTTACACGCGCGCGACACAGTCGGCGCGGGGCCCGTGAGAATCCGGGGGTCCGTGCGGGGCCACCGCCAGCTGCGCGGAATTCAGGAAATCGTCGTAATGACGCGGCCAATACGCCAAATCTTTTCATGATTAATGACGCGGAAGCGATTTTGTAGCTCGCCCCCGTGTGAATTGCCCTCGGACAGGACGAATTAGGGTAGTTGAAGCCGAAATTGACGGGTGCGAAAGAGTCGCATCGTGGCACCTGCGGCTTATTAATCGCGATACGCTGGTATAAAGACTATTATAATAGTATATGTACTATTATATATACACTACGCTTGAAGATGTACGAGTATACATGAAAAATAATTGCTTTGGATGCTTTCAGTAGGCACTTATTATCTGTAAGTTGTGTTTCGTGTGCTTTCTCTCTTTCATTAATCCTTATCCGTCATTTTTATTAAACTAAATATGTCTATTTCATTTTCTTCTAATTTATTAAAAAACTGTGCACTTATTTTGATTATTTAATTAAGAAATAAATAATATTTAAGATTTAATTAATTAATTACTCATCTCAAATTTTATACTTTCTTTTATATCTCTTGAGAAAGGATTGGTTTTGAGGTCGGCTGTCAATTTATGCTGATAAACAATGTTAGTTGCGAAATAAACAATTCTACATGGAGTTCTTTGTAGGTTTAATATATTTCTTTAGCTTAATGAGCCTACATATTTACACAAAGTCTATATTGATATATATGTTACATATGTATACATGATATATATCTAGTGTCCATATGATACATGTATTTTACAAAACTTCCTCGCGTTCTCTCTCTCTCTCTTTCTCTCTCTCTCTCTCTCTCTCTCTCTCTCTCTCTCTCTCTCTCTCTCATTCTCACTGTCTTCCTTCACTTGATACGTACTCCGACAATCCTGTACGGCACTTGATCTTTTGGAAGAAATTTTACGCGGCTGCACTCATCTGTCTTTTTTACAAACGGGATAAGGCAGTTGTGACACAGGATGAATATGATATATCGCAATTTTTGTATACTCTTTTAGAGAATTAAAACATAATTAAATCCAATTTATAAATTATTAAACAATGGTCCAATAACATAATTAACAACAATTAGTCCCATACAGGTTGATTTATCTAGGAATCTAGAGAGAAGTAATTAGTTTCAGATATTGATGAAATAGATTGTTACGTTATTGATGTAAATTGTCAAATAACGAGTAATGCTAAATAATTACAACATAAATAATGGTACATAACTCATTATATACAATAATATAATGATGCCTGATTGCAGTATGTATATTGCTATCTGTTAAATCTTATTTCGATGTTTTTCCCTGAATCGCGAATAAAAATAAACAATCAAATGTCTCCTTGTAAACTGCTAGCTGTAATTTTCCGAAATATTGTACCTGTATATGAATACATTTAATTTATTTAATAACAAAATAATATTACATATACATGTAATATTATATAAAACATAATTAACACACAAATATATTTTATACACATTTGTATATTAAAATAATTATAAAATTCACGAACGGAACATTAATTTTTGTTTGTAAAGAAAATAACAAATTATTCCGTTATTTTTGTCGAATATTTTTGGACAAACTCACAGTTATTCAATAAAATTCTCGCAATTTTGAAGTACCTATTTTGAAGACTCTAAATAAAAAAGATTGCGTATATTCAATCAGCAACTAATTATTATTGATTTATAATTGGTAAACTTATTATTGTGTCTTATATGAATGTCTATAATTAGCGCTGAAATTGTGTAAGTTGTTGAACAATCTATCGATTGGACTAAGCTGCTGATCAAATATGTTCAAAATTAATAACACATTACCAATACCACATATATCACAAAAATGTATCAAATGTAGTCTGTTTTCTTTTCGAATCTTAAGTCCAGATTCTACAGTGTCCCGGAAGAAAACACAAAAATAAAAGGATTCTTTACTATAACGGAAAGCCTTTTGTCAATTTTTTTTAACTTTTAACTAGAATACATTGGCGAAAGTGTTTTCTTCCGGGATGCATCACATATTAAAATGCCTATCGAACTGTATGAACGACACGACTCCATGCTCTCGCAATCCTGACAAACAAAATAATTTTCTGATTCATACAGGATACTATAGGTTCGCGGATGTTTACGCCCGAAATGTTTACGTTAGTATCAAACGGCTTTCGAATAAACCGAGGAGGTCCTCACAAAGGTATTTACAAAAATCTGTAAGCTCTCACAGTTAATTGTCCGCTTTGCGTAGCGCTTCTTCCGCCTTCACTCTCAGCACTTCCGCGCTCTGCTTCCTGATCTCGTCGTCGGACGACGCCGAGTCCTCTTCCCTATCATTCTTCGAGCTTAGGTTTTGTGGTATGTTCTGTACACCGAGATTCAAAGGATGACCGTGTAAGTGGCCGCCCAAGGAGTGTCCGTTCACGCTGCTGTGATTCAGCGACGAGCTCGGATTCAGACCGACCGGAAGCATCGTGCCGAGTGACGCCAGGTTCTGCGGCAAAGGCAGGCCGATGTATTGCGACAAGAGCGCGTGTAATGGCGGCAGCTTAGGTGCGCTCGGTGGCCAGGGCGATGGGAAAACCGGAGGTATGAACCAAGGAAATGCGCCTGTCGGTGGACCCGAGGAATCCGTGCCGGGAACGCCGCTGGCCGTTTGCAATAACCGCGCGTGAAGGGACAACTCGTTAACACCTGTAAACAGAATTCCGATGGACCTTGCTTACTCCTTTGACGTAACTCCAAATTCTCTCTCGGACAAAACTATAGATCGACTTTTTGTTTCTGAACAATTTTAGTCCAGGAATAGTCACCCGAGGAGTTTTTTGTTGTAAAATATAATTTTATGTAATTATTGTTTAATATGCCATTCATTTATTTGAAAAAAGTGATACAACTCAAGAACATTTTTCTTTCTGGAACGTTATTAATCCATGAGAATGAATTAATTTTATTATTAATTGTCAAAAGTGAACTTACTAAATTTGATATATTATTGTCACAAAAATTACATTAGCGTTATACAAAAATTTTTTTTATTAAAAATGACTAATGTTTATACATTAGTTTATTTGCCAATTAATACATTGATATCACTGTCATACAATAACACCTAGACCTTTTTAGACTATTTCTGGGAACTCATACTATTGCGGTAACCAAATGACCATTTTACAAGTTTTTGTACGCATTTAATGCGTGATAATTGTGACTCAACAATATTTTAGTAATGCGTTTAAATTGTATTATAAGTTAGTAAAGTTATTTTTGTATTTTTTTTTACGTTGAGAGGGACCGAAAACCTTGATTAAAACGTGTGTAAACATTTTTAATATATCTAATAAATATTATTTACGCACAGATAACCGCGTCGACTCTTAATTGGCTTTTTTATTCTCCTTTTTATTAGATTTATTCTTAAAACTGCACATATCTTCATTTATATTGTTTAAATAAGCAATTCCGTCTAAAAGCTGCAATAAAAAGCATGTAATTAACATTATATTAATATGTTAGATTTGTTTGGGAAAAAAGTCTTTTTATATGTAATATTCTCGAATAATAATAAATCGGGAAACAATAAATCATGTAAAAGATCTCCGTTTTTTTTCTATACCTTTATTATTTTTTTTTAAATTAGAAAATATGGAAATGATTTGTTATATTATAGTTATTTTTCAGAAAATAAAACATAATTAACAAATATATATTTTATATATTTATATGTTAGTATATTTAAAAAATTTCTAAAATGTTTATTTTTATTTGCTTATTAGGAAATAATATAAATTTTTTTGTTAAAGAAATATTTCTGAGTGAAATTTATATTCATTATACATTTTGAATTTGAAATACAAAATGAAATTGAAAAGACCGCTCGTTATGTGTTGAATATAGTTAATAAATCTGATCATTATGCGATATAGTACCGCAAGGTTGAAAAGTCATTAGATTATTTTTACCTCTAATATTATCCGTTCGATGTACAAGCTTTATTCAGAGTGCTTCATGAAAAAATAATCGTGACCAGGTTTCTATTCTATATTATTTGCACGTGATAGCTGCGACAGCCAACACTAAAATTAGACGTAATTGTCGCCGATTACATCTACCCTTCGTAACTTGCGCGCCCTATCGTCCTCTCATGCACATATTAGCGAGCGTAACGCACATGTTGTAAAGCGAAGGAGTAAGGATGATCGAAAACGAGCTTTCACGATTGTTCAATTATTGAAAAAAAGAAAAGCGAAGAAAAAGAAAAATACAGCGAAAAAATTTACGCTATTGTAGAAAAAAAAAAGAAAAAATATATGACATCTAATTTCCGAAATAAAAAGTATTTTTATTTAGGTATCTAAAGAAATTTGAGGCATAAATCGTATTATGTTTCAAATAATTCTGTAAAATTAAATATTTAATAATTAGCAATCGCAAAAGTGTTTCTCTTAAAATTTTTTAATTAAAAGTTTCCTTTTATAATTCCGTTAGACGTCATATTGCTTCCGAGATCAATTTAAATTATTGTCTTTCTTAAACTTACCGCCTTGTTCAACGTGCATAAAACTCGTATCTCTGCCCAAAGCCTTTTCCTTCTTGCGCCACTTTGCACGCCGATTTTGAAACCATACCTGAAGCAAAAAGAAAATACTTTACAAGATAAGTATTCAATCTCAAATAATTAACATTAAAAATATTGTGCAATATTGCGATGTATTACGACCATTAAAAAATTAAATATTATTAGTCTCAATTTGTTCAATTAAATTATTAAATTCAATTAATTTGTTAAAAAGTAATTCGTGATCTCTATTGATTGCGAATTATCAGAACATCAAGATATTCGTCATGAAGATCCAAAATTGGCAGAGAAGGGAAGCCCATGAGAACCCCAGATGCGCGTATCAGAGCAGCCAACAACAAAAGCTTACTCTCGAGGTTGATTAAGCTAATTGTTAACAATTATCCTGATTTCCTTCGTACCCCTGAGTGCTAGCAACCCCTGCCTCCGGCTCTATTCTCGTCTACCCCTGACGACCCTATCGTTGGTCCGGTTGCCGTATAAATACTTTCGCTTTCCACTCGAGCTGTTACAAATTTTCGTGGGTACCAGAAGAGGCAGCGAAAAAGAAAAGAGAAGGAGAAAAAGGAAAGAGATGTTATTAGATTTTTTTAGTGTGAGAAAAACTGCACAACATATATAGCAAAATATATAAAAATATGTGAATATACTTTTATATATAAACAATATTTAAACATTTATAAAAGCTTAGATAAATATAAATAAATTGACGATAAATATTTAAGTATATAATAATATTAATATTTAGCAGCTTTATATAATTAATATTATAAATAATACTTATATATAACACAAGATTAAATTTCTGCATAATAAAATGGTTAGACATTCTTTCGCATCTAAATAATTCGTTGCATCTGAATAAGTAATACTTTTTTTCGCAAATAAATTTATTAAATCAGATTTTTTCTTTGAAAAAGGCGCTTATCTAGAACTGCAAGGATTATAACTAATCATGTACAACAACATTGATTTGAAAATCGAATGAAATGATGACATATAGTAATCTCTTGGATTGAGACAAATAAGCAAGTTTGTTCGAGCATACTGCAGAATAAAATCAAGGCAACGTGAGAAAATCGAAGGTACATCGAGAGTAGGAAGTGGCATCTAGGAAGAGAAGAGAGGAATAATGTTGAAGTTCGGGAAAGAGGTCAATGTTGCGTGACGGGGGGGAGGAGGCAGGAAATTTAATTGCCTAATTGCTGTTAATTATTTAATCGCTCCTGAATAGCCCCTAACGCTTAAGTGCTCGCAAACCTTGCGTCATTTAAGCGACCCACCACGAACTCGAAAGTTTGCAACGCCAACGCGTTTCCATAACTCTGCCCTATTAAATTCTTGAACAATTTACCATAGAAATTAGCAATATTTCTGCAGATCGATTTACGTCACATTTAAATCTCTAAATATCTTTCTTCTGTTAAACTTTTAAATTTTTTTCTATAAATTAGCATAATACTGACCTTTTAAAAAGGATTTCCATAAACTCTTTCACTATACTACTGTATGTTAAATGAAATTTTTATTCCATTAAAAACTATTAATTAAAAAATATTAAAAAATATATATCTCTCAAGGCGTGATAATTGAATACACTTATACAATTCGGAAATCATCGCTATCGTGATATTTGCGTTAGATAAAAGGCAACTAGAAAGATAAAGAAAATTAAAAGAAGAACGTTAAAAGAAGACATTATCTTTTTAACGCAGATTTAACGTAAATAATTCGTGAGAAGTCGTTGCGTCGCGTCGCAACGTCCACGATAGCCCATGAAAATTCCATTCAGAGCGTCCGACGATGGCAAATCATCTGTCGAGGTGTAGGCAACGTCAGAAACGACTCGCGATTGCATTACCATACGCAGCCGGTCGTCGATACATCGGCCAGCCGTTAATACCGAAAAATGGGGTAATTTCGCATCTGGAATTGGCGCGTGAGTGGAGGGGGCGGGAAGGGGTATGGAGGATTTCCTAGATTGAAATAAAGTGGCCGTGGCACCACTGTGCGCCGCGGCGGATCATTTAGCGGTTTTGTCGAGCGACGGCCAATTGCCGGCATTGTCGCTCCGCTGTACCACAATGGGCCAATCGGAATGCTCTCTGTCTCTTTTCAACGTCATCGTCACCCTTCCGCCAGCGGCCCCACGCAACCCCTCGCACTCATCCATGGCTACATACGTATAGAAAATGCATGCGTAAGTGTGCGTTTCTCTTCTAAATATAAGTTTCTTTTGTCGTATATATAAGAATAAAACAGTCGAATCGGATGATTCTAAGAACGTACTGACTCGACAATATTGGCTCCTTAAAAACAAATCGATAAAAGATTCTTTTTTTTTTATATTTGTTAACAATTATTGCTACTATGATATTCTTTCTGTATTCATTTACGTATAATACAGATGAAGGTACCATTTATACTCATTAATTTCATTAATACTCGAACGAATTATCGTTATCAGTTTGCGAATAATTGGGGTTACTGATATAATTTAATTATTTACATCACATACGTAGCGTCATTTAATTGCAAACTGAAATATTTCTTGCATTCTACGAAAATTAATTTGTGTTTAATATAATACGTATTAAAAGGAGATAAAGGAAAGTACAAATACGAAACGATCTAGTCAAGCTCTGTGAATTGAATTACATCCCAATGCTGCAACGTACTCGAATTTTCAAGGATGCCCCGGTTTAAAATCCAAAGCAGATTATTACTCTACACGAGGCATAGCTCTATCTTCAGTGAAATTAACCATTGACGAATTCGAAGCATAGCGCGTGTTTCGCAAAATTATACAAATGGAAAACGGCGGCACGGAACAATAGTCTTTAATTAGTTAAGTGACTTGCCTTAAGGCTGAGTCGCCAAAGCGTAATCCTGCAAGCGCTCAAGGATGCTTGTGATGTTCCTCAAACTTCGTACAATCAACGTATTAATCGATCTTCATGAAAATTGTTGCATATGGAAAATTAGTTGACGCTATTGTACATTAATCACTGTAATTGTATAATTCCGTATAAACATTTTATCGAGACAAAAAATGTAACGAACAAATTCTTTGTAAATAATAAAATAAATTTATAAACTAACAATAAGTTCTTTCCGGGGTTTGTAAATGCTAGTAGCATTATTATTAAACGACGATCAATTTAAATGTAATATTATTTTAGCTTTACGATTACGTTTCAATTTCAATGGTAAACGGCGCTTACTGGTAAATAATATTATACGTAGTAATTGAAAGATGTAGAATTTACACATAAAAGTATTATTTATTATTAGACACCAAAATCTGTCGACTGTATATTGGCCCTTTCTTTACTTACTTAAAATAAATTTTGATTTATAATAATAAACAAAAAAAAGTATTATAATAATATAAATTCAAGTTGTATGTTTTGTTGCAAACGTTATTCATATAGCATTTTTTGCTTACATGGCTTATCGCCATGTAAGCAAAAAATTATTGTGCCTCGAATTTTTTTAATAATCCTCATATTTAACATGAAAATTACACGTGAGGTCTGAATTAACCTTTTAAATTTTTATCCTGCTTACCGAATCTAAAACTCGTCATTAAAACTACTTACGAAACTTGCCACTATCAAATGCGCGAAACTCAGCGACACTCGCGTGCCTCACGGGCTTTGTGAATTCGTCCAGTCAAAGCGACGAAAGGTTAATTATACTTCTGCAACTGTCTGGCAAAATCTGGCCTGACTTCTTTCCCTCATTCTCTTCAAGCCGCATTTGTGGAATATTTGAATCAGTCATTGCGAAAGCGGCATAAACTAATATCTCTTCAAAGTACATGATAGTCGAAGTGTCGCGACTGTGTTTTATTTTTATGAAACACGATATTTAATAACGGAAAATATTGTAAAAACACGACTCATCGACTTTTGAGTTATATCAGACATTTGCTACATTCGTTCCACTTATATACCTCTTGTATTTTTTTATATCCACAATATACAAGAATGATACAGATTTCAAAATTATATAGATTTCCATTTATGTAGATTAAAATCTTTCCATATCTTTAACTCTCATATTTTTCTTTTCTTAAATAAAAAAATTTTTGTTGTGCCTGAAATTTTCAGGACACTTTGTATTCCTATTTTGTATTTCTATATAAATTAGTCAAAATCCTTCCATGTCTAATATGTATATTCATATACTCTTTTGCCAAATTAAGAACCGTGATTATAGAATTACCAATCGTAAAGGCAGATTAATCTCTCTCTCTCTCTCTCTCTCTCTCTCTCTCTCTCTCTCTCTCTCTTTCTCTCTCTCTCTCTCTCCCTCTTAGATATGATAACCCTAGTCGTGACTAAACTTTCCAACACTTATTTTATTTTCTTACCTTCCTATCCAAATTTTGCAAAAATTGTTCTTATTATCTACCACAATAGTTTTCCTACGTATGTATATCCCTATTCCCGCAAAATACATAAATAAGAATTAAATAGATTTCATTATTATATAAATTTCTGTTTATTTAAATTAAAATCCTTATTATATTTAACATCGTATTTAACTTCATGTCTACATTCATATATTTTTTTCTCTTAAAAGTCGTTATACTTGAAATTTTCAGTTCAATTGATATTCTTATAATTCTTTGCATTCCTGTAACAGATTTCTGGAAATCTTTCTTATCTAATATACTCATAATCCTTGTTTTCTCAATTAAGAACCGTCAATCTTTCAAGCTTACTTTATATTACTATCTTCTTATCTAAACATTTGAAAGAATTTTCCTCATTACCGCAATATTTTTTTTTCGTGCGGCATGTTTTTTTTATATGAATTATTTATAAAAAGTACCTGCACTCTAGCTTCCGAAAGGTCTAATCTCATCGCCAGTTCTTCCCTGGTGAACACATCCGGGTACTGAGTGTTCCCGAAGGCTTTCTCAAGCTCGTGCAGCTGATAGGTCGTAAAAGTTGTACGCGATCTTCGCACCTTGCGTGGTCGGTCGGACTCACCCAGACTTAATGGATCGTGCAGTGCGTCGTTGATTTGATGATCGCTCAGGTGACCGAGCTCCATATCGCCACCATCAACCACAGCATCGGATGATGTCGCGTGGTCTGAAATCAGTGATACAGTAAACTCTAAAGTGCTTATCGATTTCATCTTGATTTCCGCTAAGAATCCATTTTAACGAAAAATTTTGACAAAGAACATTGATGATTGTCTAATATGAACCTATAGTATATACGTAATAACTTTCCAGTCCTTTACTTTTATGAAAAAAAGAACACGATTTTACTAAAAAATAGAAATATGTAAAAATATTTAGAAATAGGTAAAAGTCTTTCGAATAATTCCGCATAATGTTTACATAAAACAGAAAATATGATTTTATATTTTCGGCTATGAGTTGATGGGCTGTAAAAAAATTCCCAGGGCCGCAGATACGCATCACCATGTTGACTATAAAAATAATTATTACGTAGAATGTTCAAGCTAATTGCTAGAATATTAAAACTTTTTACAGCGTTGCTATTATACTTGAGCGTCCCATACAATTATTTTGACAGTCCAACCAAATTATTTTCATACTGTATCTAGTTAAATTTTTAAATACTTGAACAAAATACTTCTTTCCATGCACACACAATAAGTCATTCGTATATGAGTTAATTTTCATCATTTATACGAATATGTAGAAATTAGTGAATAATTTTTGCATGTATACTTTGGCATCTTTAGAAAGTATTTAAATGGTTGTATGTTTAAAAAAGGAAAAAAAAGGTAGAGACCATTATTACTTATAGGGTTCCTAGGTGTTCCTAGTACTTCAAAGAAGAGAAACGCACGGGATGTCAAGATACTATCGTGTGTTTGTGTGCGTGGTGTACTAATTGTAAGATTAATAATAATTTAAAACTAATAATAAAAAATATACTACATCAATATATTTAACACAAAATTTGTTAAACATACTTTATAGATCCACGTGTCAAATGTAACGCGCTGCAATGCGACGGCAAATCAAAGAAACTTTTATAGCTAGTCGAGAGGAAGAATCTTCCGTAAGACGCGAGAATTTGTAATCCTCGAAATTTATTTGGCGCATCCTCGCCTGTTAAACGCGCGTATATGTCAAACAGTACGTCCGATACTTGAGCGCGGGAAGCGATCGGGAGGCGATTAAGCCATATCGCTCGCGTTGCCAAAACGAAATTGTCGTTTTGCCTGATATGCCAACTCTGGCGGCGGTGGCGGCGGCGGGGAGATACGGGCGCAATTTCATTTTTAAGCCGCACAACGACCGGTACCGATATAACCGATACGCCGATGACGTCCGATCGGCGGATTTGCCAATTTTTAAGCCTCACCCGACGCTTCATTCTCTCTCTTTTTTTTTTGCACCGCTCCATACATCTGGCGGCGCCCGCGTGTACACGCCCGCGAAATACCCTACAAATGTAAGTGCGCACATTATACGTATGTGCTCGACAGTACTTAAAAGCCGTCGCTGTCAGTGATTAGCAAATATCACGAGTGCATACTGCCCACACCCTTCCACACTCCTTCTCCTCTCCCTCTCGCGATACAGCAGCAAGCCTTGCAACCCTCTCTCCCCCATGCAACGCATACCCTTCCGGGCTTTCTACAATCGCGCCCGCCTCGTACCCCAGTCATATTTCCTACCATGATCATACTCGTTTCGTCTTTGCGCAAGCATTAACGAGGGCTTAAAGCCCTATTAAAGTAAACTACACGTAGACATAGTAGTCGGATATATGTAGATTGTCGATTCGTTTCAGGTGAGAAATCGAATCGTGTGATACGTTGATTTTAAAATAAATGTTTCTTGCGATCATCTTAGGATAATCATGTATGAAAGATAAGAGCTATTTTATGATAAAATAGTGAAATCTTTGGGGTCTCCGAAAGTTTTGAGGCAAAATTAATTTACCAATAAATTGAGCAAACTTATTTTAATATTATTATAATTTATTAATAAATAGAAAACGTTTATTTATATATTATATTTTCTGTATTTAAAAAAAATTTAGATAATTGACGATTACCAACGACGATTATTTCAACGATTTTGCTATAAAACTTGCAACTCTACAACGGTCAAATCGATACGCAAAAAAAAAAAATGGTTTGAAAAACGCTCGTGCAATGCGCTTGATATTGCATGAACGTTCAGATAATAACAAATCGGTTGATCTGCATATAATTTCAAAAGGCACTTGACGGCGTTAAAAATAAATTCATCGTAACGAGTTTTAAAAATGAAGCTCGCAGGCAACGAGCCATCGGCTCGTGATGCCGCGAAGATATCACACCGAGTGCGATATTCGCGTGAGCAGAAAAGCGCGGAAATATCTCACGGATTCTCTCCGCAAAAATACATCGAGGTAATGTCGCGGCGAAAGCAATGCAGCCGATAAAAATCGAGCATCGCAATAAACCTTGTTACCTCTTTGACACTTGTAAGAAGCGATATATTGTGTACGTATTATATATATATATATATATATATATATACTATATATACGCGTTCGTCACAAATTGCCACGCGATTTATTATTTCTCTTTGAACTTTCCCTTGTCAATAATCTTGACAATAATACATGCGATCTTTCTCTGACTTTTTCGTCTTTTGTGAGACAAGCATCTTTCTATAGGTCTCTTACAAAATATCGAGATGCTTTTCGTGTGGTCAAACTTGTTTGCAGAATATTTGGAATGGCCTTTTTTCTTAAAAAAAAAAAAAAGAAAAACATAATATTACTACAATTCACCAACTATCAGAAAATATTTGATTTCATTTTTTTATTTTATCTTACGTAGCCGTAATATTTTATGTAAGTGGAAATTTTACGTAAATGGTATACTGTCAAATCTACATGTTGTAAAAGACTCAAACGTTCGATCTATTGATGAAATCGACATAGATTGCGCCCTCATTACTACCGCGAACTAGGCTAATTATTAATTAGCTGACTATATACAGCTCTTTAGATTAATATACCTATTATAATTGGATAACGATCTGAGACCGAAGCGGCAACTACAAAGCTACAACTTCGTCTATATCCGCTTACGTGCACATACCTCGACTAGTTTCACATTAAATTATAATCTGCTTCGTAAACGTTTCCCTCGAAATCACTTCACGTTACGCTGTGCCATATCTTCGAAGTATAATACCCAGTTTAATAAATAAAATCTATCTCACTGAATGTTAAATAGAACGATTAATTTTTATTTATAAATTAGCTCTGATCGTTCGTCATTAATTAACTTGTTGTGTTTAGTCAAATATTTAAATACCGTTTAACTATATATTAAATACCCTTTAACTATATATTTGTACGGTATGAATATAAAATAATAAATCTGATCTAAAAAAAAAATATTACTTTCATCTCTTTTCAGTAAAACTATTTCCAAAAAACCATGCAGATGTCTGTTACTTTAAAAATATCCTCCCTCCCTCTACAATACAAATGAATTCTATCGAGAATTGCCTAGATCCTATTTTTCTTCTGGCCCTTCATTATAATTTAGTTTACTTATACCTTGGATTTGTTATTTTGAGCGCTTCAATTTAACAAATTCGTTCGGCAACCGAAAATCTTTTGTAATCTTTTCGAATGACCATGAGATCATACGAAGAATCCCAGCAACACGCATGCACATCCTTTTACGCGTTCCGACTCGGACTAATTAGACAAGCATTTACTACTCGTGCGTAATAATGCTAATCCTACTTTCGGTGTCGATACATAGCCAGCAGTTGTGATAGGATGAATCGGGATACGATCGAAAACGTATGTACGCCGTCGGTGGCACAAGCACGCACGCACGCACGCACGCACGCACACATGTACGCATACATATCGCACAGAGAGAGGCATCGTCGTACTAATCCAAGCTGAATAGAGAGATTTCAATGTTTTTATGCTGGGGCACAATGGAGTACCCACTTGATGCTTAGCTCTCCAATGCTTTTTATTAAATCTACGGTGCGCCGACGCCTGATGTGGACCAGGCGACTGAGGCAGGGTAGGGATAGTCGAGAGGGTGAGGCTTGCACAGGGCGAAATTAAAAATTTATTTACCGTGCCGATCGGGCACATGTCGCGAATCATTACATCGTGAAGCGCCAAAGAACCGCCTGCAGGCATGAAGTCATCGATGAAAACGCCTGCATAATTATTGAGATGATGGAGGGGAATAGCAACGATTCATAAATACAAATTAATCATTTTAACAATCCATGAAAAATATTAATAGGAAGAATAATATTAGTTGTATGATATAATCAGTGGATATAATTTATATAACATTTTAATAACAAAGTTTTTAATCTTCATTGTTTTGTGTATCTAAACGCTTATACTTAGTCTTTTAAATTTCCTCGACCATATGAGCTTTTTCTTAGAAAATGGTATTATCTAAAAGTGTTATTCTTGGTATCACGTTTATAAGCGGATCTTAAATTCTTTCCATTATATGAGACAATTTCAAAAATATAGTAAAACATCTATGAAAAAAATCATAATGTATTAATATTATTATAATAAATACATAAGAAAAATCGTTTGCTTTTGTTTACACATTTTTATTATATTGTAACGAAATTAGAAGTAATGTATTATCTACCTAAGAATTTCTCGAGATACACATATTGTCACGCATCACGTTCAGATTCCCTCGTAGCATGGACAAAATTTTACAACTCTGGCATTTTGCTTAATTAACATTTCTTAAATTGTAAAAATTGGAGGAAAAAACAATCTAAGTTTTAGGCCGAATGTACAAAATAAATTTGTCTTGTTATTACAACTTGGATTTAGCATAATTAGAGAAGAATGAAAAATATTTTTGTACGGCCAGACCAATTTGGAATCATCTACCAATAGAACAGCCGTGCGCCTATGCGTCTATGCGGATTATACGCCTAAGCGTTAAGCGTTAAAAGGGATTTGCGATCCGTTCAGTCGACGAAATATACTTTCGTGAGACAGGAGCGGATTATAAGTGGCCGAGGACTTTATGTTGAAAATCTAATAAAATCCTTTAGAAGACTTACGTTAATACGCTGGCCACGAGTGTTCCACGAGATAAAATGCGACGAGACCATAGGTTTTCAAAAAAAATATTGTGAAATGCGCATTTATAAAAATGTATAAAATACAAGGTCCCTTAGGATTCTCACGTAAAAACGCATGAATTTAAAGAGAAGATATTTGTCTTGAATACACTGGAATAATATGAGTAAATAGACATGTCATTATTTAAATAAAATATGCATATTCATTTTTGCAAAAATGAAAAGTATAGATAATCGTATAAAGTATGTTATATTATTAATACTTCATAATGGTCCCTGTTGACTCAAATAAAGATTCGATTCGTGATTTTATAATCTGATTTAATAATTTCAGCAATAAAGCTGTTTACTGACGTTTTCAAATTATTACAGAACTGCCGTGCATTTTTATTTCATATTAAATTTTATTTTACATTATATAAAATTCCTAATTCGTATATCTTTTTGCTCTCTTTTTCTTTCTCTTTCTCTTTTATAAATATATAATGATTATAAAATAATGATGATGTAAAAATAAATGTAAAAATATCTACGGCCATAAAATATCTACAATTATTATAGCAAATATAAATATGCATATGACAATTGTACCATTATTTATTTTCAGATACAAACGATTCGCCTGAGAATGTACAAACACTGCAAGCATACATAAATTGCGCTTCTGGTAATTTATACATTTATTATAATATCCAGAACATTGTTCGTATGATTATTTTGTTCTTACACGTTACGTGTCACATTTCTGTATTTATATACTGCACAGGAACAATATACGTCCAATATATGTATATGTTTGCGTGTCTAACGTCGTGCTGTAAATTCGCGTTACAGCAGTTATCGTTGATCGCATATAAATAAAAAATTAAGTAAATCCTCCAGTAAAATATATTCTTCACGAAGAATGAAAAAATCCAAGATAAAAATATTATCGAGCCGACTATTTTAAATTGTAACATTGAAAATAACGTTATCGTTCAATCATTACAATTATAAGATACGATCTGAAAATCAGGATGCGTTTGCACGATACTCTTCGTTATGCATTTTATCATTCTCTTAAAAACTTTTCAATAACAAAAAACATGTCAAAAAAACGACATTGTTCGTTACAATTGTTTAATCTCAATATTTTCCTGAATGTTCAAAAATGATAATTTTATTTAATTGGAAAAATTAAAAGAAATAAAGAAAGAAAAACAAGAATAGCTAAAAAAGTAAGTAATAGAAAGAATCATAAATAAATGTATTACATAAAAATGAACATTTTATTTTCAAACGTACCTAGCAATAATAAAATAATTTTATCTCACTGAGTTTTCTTCAACCACACAAAACACACACAACACACACACAACACAACACAAACCAAAATAGATAAATCATAAAATACATATAAAATAAAATTATAAAGACGTTACATTTTAAAATACAACTTACATTTATTTCTAATCGACACCTTTTTATTGTTTATCTTGACCTTTTATCTTTCTATTAATATTACTCTACAAAAATAAACTTTGTATCTATATTCATAAAAAAATCTATTTTTAAAATTATAAGTGTTATTAAGTTATTAAAATAATTATATACTTCTGATTATTTCTTTGAAGCTTAAAAGCCAGAAATAGCCTCATTTACAACAGTTCATAAAGTAAGTTATTGATCGCAATATTCTTCTCCCTCTCTCTCTAATAAGACAATATTATTATATAAAAAACGACTCGAGCGATAAAAGGCAAAAGCGTGTTCGTGCATTTAATAAAAACGTGGGGTACAACGATCGCCGTTTGTTTTGTTTGCCCATAAGCCACGGTTGTAGCTCAACCTGTACACGTAACAATGTAGTTCTTTAAACTTGATAACACGGTTTATCACGCCATGACGATTCTGCAAAAGTGAACGCATCGAAACAATCCGCCGTTCGTGCGCCTCTCCGCAATCTAATCACGCGCATGCAATTTACTACTCGCGTGTCGCAACAACGTGTAGTAAATTCACGTTACACCGATCGTCGCCACAGATTCTATAACCCGCGACGACCTAATTACGTTACGTTGCCTTTAATCGCACAATCCTAAGATTAGCGGCATATTCTATGAGATTCATATCTTCCCTTATCGTGTTAAAGTTTGCAATTCTTTCAATCTGCAGTTGAAGTTGTAATTTCTTAACTCTCTTTCTTTTGAGATTAAAGTAAATTTCCGTATTTTTCTTTCACTTGTTATTTGCACGTTTGTACGCTCTCTTTTACAAACAATAAAATTCTGGAGAAATAACTATAAAAATATTAAGAATTCTCAGCAATTTTTTGTCGAGAAAACTAAAATGAATAATCACTAACATTGAAGATTAAATATTACTGTTAAGGATGACCTTATTTTTATATCTATATGAATAAGATTCCTTATACAATAAATATATTTTAATGGAACTTTATTTAGCCTTTTTTTTCAAAAGTACATATTAACAGAAATTAATTACAAAATATGAATGATAATATATAGTGAAACAAATATATTTATCTTAATTTGTAAACGATAAATATTTATTTTTATATTGTTTATAGTAAATTTACAATTAATTTCTGTTAATGTATATACCTTTGAAAAAAGAGAGAGAGAAGAGAGAGAATAAATAAATTTCTATTAAAATATACCTGTAAAGTATCTTTTTACTTAGATATGCATGTATCAAAATAAGGTTATCTTTATATTAACTTCGAGAACTAGCTAATGATCATTTGAATAAGTAACTATTGTATGGTACACTTTTATCAAATAAGAAGTCTATTCTTTGAACTAGTATACACACTAATATTTAAAATAAATATTTAAAGTTTAAACGAAAGAGAGAGAGAGCGAGATATTTTTTTTTAAATGTAGTCCAGGTGATAAAATAAGGCAAATATAATAATCGCATTTTACCAAGATGTGTCATCTTAAGATAGATACATAAATTAAACGAATAAATAACAAAAGAAATGTAAAAATTTTTTGTTAAAAGCTCTTTTTAATATAACTCCTATCTCATAAACAAATTGAAAGTTGTAAATATTCTTTTCTATCCTGTATGATGAATATTTTTCGAAATTAAAATAAAAGTTTATATTACCTAATCTAATGTATTCTCTGTGTTAATTTGTCATTTATTCGATCAGTGTTCGCTCACCTCTAGATAACCTACTTTGTTGTAGTAAAAAAAAGAGCATGCCCGACGCTGTATAGTATCGAGGTAGTAAAATCAAGGTAGTAACGGACTTCCTTGTTAACGAGTTAAGTATTCCGAGAGCGAGTGAAGTTTATCGATCTTACGGTCATTACAATCATACACGATCGTTTTGTGAACGAAGACGTGATTGTTTCATCAAAGTAGACGCGTTGTAAATTTCAATTCGCGAATATATATTATTGACCAGTTAACAAATAATTACAAAGAAAAATACTTATATATGTAGATATAATTAAAATCTACATAACAATAGAAACAATAGGAACGGAACAAAAAAATTAAATAAATAAAATAACTAAAGATTTCAGGGTAACAAATTAAAATAATGTACTTTTTTATTTTGAAGTGTCATTTTTCTATGCAAATAATATTTTATATAATACGAAATAATAAACAATTGATTTCGAGAAAGGATAGAATAATTTATCAATAATGAATGTTCACAATTAAAATCATAATCAATAATTGCAGTAATTCTTAGAAATATTTTTTTATAATTAAATTTTGTCAGAAGAAAGTTAAATAATGAATGTCTATGATTAAAATCATCATTGATTATATAGTAATAATGTTTAAACTTTCACAATAAAACTTTGTCAGTGAAAAAATTTAGAGTTATGTCATTATATTGTAGATATTCACATTTAATTCTATTTCAACGATTATTTTTTTCTTTTGCTTCTTAATATTACAGTATAATTACATACAATGTATGTCTGTTACTCTATTTAATAAAAAAAATAGTTTTATGATTGAAAAATTTATTTTAGTCAACACATTGAGTATAGAGAATACTGTAAAAGTTCCAATTCACTCACACAAATAACTTGCGCGTATTTCTTTGAAAGAAAAAGAAAGCTACTTTGCCGTACCTTCATCTTTGCCATGACCCAGTATCTGATCGATGCTGTACACATTTTTCTTCTGATTATAAGTCTGGGCCATATCTGAAGTACCTAGATGTTGTTCTCCTTTGGAAATCACTGGCGTAAGTTCCCGCGATTTGCAAATAAATCGCACTACTAAAGGACAGTCCTTGACCCACGAAAATCACTGGCAAATCATAGTTTTTCCCGGGTGGCACGCGCGCAAATTGAATCTGCCGCCGAGTCGCGTGTGCCTCCGTCGAATGCGTTCCAGACGGAAGAGGATACGCGAAAGGAAACGAGCGAACGAAAGAAAGCTAGGGAATGAGGAGAGACAGGAGGATGCCGAGAACGTCGTTCTCCACCTTCACGACTCAAAATGCGTCAATCGACGGCGCACCACGCACTGGCTCGTCGGACATGAAAGCAGCCCTTAATATCGCGTACATCAGCCCCACCTTGCAACCCCTAACACCGCCATATTAGCCCCTCGGCCAATGGGAACGCGTGCTTTTCACCCAAAGCCACCCCGTAATCGGAGGCTGAATGAAGCCTGGGCGGGGAATATTTTGCCCTTTCCGCGTAAATCCCCGGATTTTTTCTGGTTCCCCTACCCGTCTCACCCTCCTACCCTGTCCGTCCTCCCTCTTGCCGTCTCTTCTCACTCTTTCAACCCTTTCCTCTCCTTCTACATTCGATCCATCGGCCGATGTTCATCTTCTTCGTTTCTTCTGTCTTCTTCCTGTCTTCTTCGTCCTTATGCGTTCTCCACATCACTTTCTTTCTCCGTTTCTCGTTCTTTTCTCATATTTCCATTTTCTTACACAATTCTTTTTATCCATTCTATTTTCCTTGAGACGCCGAATTTGACCGATTATGGATAATTCGATGATAATGTGTTGTTGCACAATTTTATTTTTAATCAAAAATCTTATACTTTAATTTTATATTAATATGTAAAATTATTACATATAAAATAATAAAATTATATAGATAATCTTTATATTTTTAAAGACAAAAAATAAACAATAGTATTAATTTTTAACCTTAAAAATACTAAACAATATAATAAAAGTGATAAAGAGAAACGATAAATTTTAATTAAAAAATTGATATTGTTTTATACATTTATCTAACAATGCATCTTAATAATCCTTCTCTTTAAATTTCCTTGTTTTAATTTTGATTTATAAAAAATTTAATTTCTATTACAATCTATTAATTGACTGAGGAAGATTTAATTGAAACGTTTTTACATTTTATATTTGTTGAAAAACTCGTTTTAATTTTTTTTTCTTTAAGTTTTATATTTTTATGAACCAGTTTTTATCTTTTGATCTAATTATTTGCTCGTTTCTGATCTCGCTATAACTTTTAATATAGAAAACAAATTACATATTCTCATTTGGAAAATAACTCTATTCATAAACAACTCATGAATTCTGAGCAGTTTATTAATAATATATTTATAAGAGCATATTAGAAAACAATAATTACTGACAAATAGATAAGTATTACATAATGCTACTAAATAATGTAATAATTTTATATATCACCACGTCTTTATATATTAAATTCGAATGTTTTATAGATTATTTTTATAGATTATTTTTTATAGATTATTTTAGATTTGTTTTTGATTATTTTTACGTTGCTCAAGACGATATTAGATATTCTTGGAAAAATAATCAAAAAGATCCTTTAAAAAGTTATTTAAATATTTTTCTGAATTATAACCTATTTTTTTTAATCTTGTCTGATTTATTTCTGATTGTACCATGACGCAACTCAAAACTTTTTTAGATATCTTAGTTGCTTTCAGTGTAACACACAAATACACACACACACACACACACACATACACAGAGAGAGAGAAAGAGAGAGAGCTCGACAGCACACACAATCTCAAGTATAAAATTTTTTTAATTTTTCTAAAAACATTACATTCTTCTAGATTTTATCTTACATTATATTGAGTTATTTTTTTAAGAAATAAAAAATGGATAACGCCGCATCATTAGTACCTGAAAATAATTTCAAATTATCGCATGCACAACAGATAGGCATCTAAAGCCCGTATCAGTCTATCGACTTTGCACACCCATCCAACTGTCAACTATGACTGCCACAGATCTGATGACTGCCAACTCATAATAGATAATAGACCGATAATAATAAAGTTCAAACATTAAAATTAATCTATTATATATCAGCAATCAAAATTGGTAGAATCCGTCTACAGAGTCGATAGTTAGATATGAGCTTAACAGACATAGTTCCAAGAAACATTTTACGAGATTTCTCTCAGATCAGAGAAAGAAACATAGTGAAAAATATATATAAAAGGTAACAACTATACAAGTTTTATATATAAAATTAATGTATAAATTAAATAAATTATTTTATAATTATTAGAACTATAAAATAGTTTAACTATGTAAGTTAAATATTGTATAATAAATAGCCTTAATTTTACTCTTAATAATTAAAATGTTTTTTTAAATGATATTAAGGATGAAAAGGGGGGGCCTTTTTTGGCACAAAGTATCTATAAAACTTAATATAATCTAGCACTGTATTTCTTATTTTCCATTATTATTATTATTATTAAGTATTAAATTATTATTATTATTTCTCCGATGCTTTGCATTCTATACCATTCCTACACTTAAATGCTTAAACTTCAGCAACAATTTCAAAGAATTGATGATACCCGGCCCAAATCAAAAATACATCCGCTTTAATCAAATCGTCCATAGAGACTAACAATCAAAATGGTAAAAATTAAAGTTACTTATTGATTTATTGACGTACATTAGTTTATTCAATTATATATGTATTTTAATTCTCAATACAGCACTTGTATAGTTGTCACCTGTACTCTAAATTCTTTGGAGTATAATCTCACACTTAAAAAGATAAAAAATTGAGCCATTCTTTTTGAAAATTCAAGAAGTAGCTTAATATTTTGTAGAAACCTAACATTTCGCGAAATATTGTGAATATTGACAATTATTATTGAAAGAATATAATACTAATTTCTTTGTTGGAGATTTTTCAATACAGTTTGTCTTGTAGCGAGTCCGTGCGACTTAGTAGTTCGATAAAACGAGGTATCGAATCTCCGCATTGATTTGGCCGTACAGAATGTTTGTCGCCATCTGTATAAAGGCGTGGGTGTTCGATCTCGTCTCTGCTTGCTTCATAGGCGGCTTTATCATGCAAATATGGTATCGATACTCGGTTGTTGTGACGATAAAAAATAGATTTCTCAAAGTGCTACTCCGATATGACTAATAAAGTCTTCAAATAAAATCACAAGAGTACATGACATTTATATCAAGTTATCATTATACACATATGATAATATATATGTATAAATATCTAAAACCATTTATTTCATGTACTGTATGAACGCAAATTCGACTATATATTTTTTAAGGCATTTATGTTATTACGCGTATAAAGAAACATTATTATCTTATCACGATGAACTATTTTCATTAAAATAGACATTGACAAAAATGTTTAAAACATAACAATATACAATGGCTTATTTTTTAAAAATACAAGATTTTTTGGAAATATAGAAAAATATTGACAAACTAAATAACAGAAATCTTTTGAGAACCTAGAAATATCATACAAAAAAGAACAATTTTATTAACCACTTCCAATCGTTGTTAGCAATCTACAATATTAATAGTTTTGATAAATGTTTTAAATTAATAAAAATTTCTTCTTTTTAGTGTTCCGATGTTAAAAGATTATCCTCATGACTTTGTTAGTTTTATTGTAGAAATGTGTATTAACAGAACTTCTAAAATCGAATTTTCTCAGGTAGAACTGAACTGATAAATATTTCTAAGATTAAAAATTTTCAACTTGCACATTATTAAAAATATATAAATTTGATTTTATGTACATATAGTTTTGTAAATAAGAAAGAAGTTAATGATTTAAAGGCAAGAGTCAATAAATATATTTATCACTGTAGCTCCTGCTGATTTATTCTTGTGAAATACATATACTATATATCGCATTGCAAATCACAAAGATACAATTGCAAAATGATAATTGCAGTGTAATTCCTTTCAAATAGTTTTATTTTTTAGATTTGGATTTTAGAGAAATTATTTGCTCCAATGTCTGCTAAATAAATTAAATGCGCATATTCATACAGTACAAATGCAATTCAGTTGTTTTTTCAGCAATTTGCAGTAACGAACACGTTGAAAAACTATAGCGTACTTATAGAATCATAAAGAGTTACGTAATTACGGCATGTGAATGCATTATACAGATTTTTAATGCACTCATCGTAAGCTTATCTCTTTTTGAAAAACTTTAATCCTTGTAACGCACGATTTCTCTGCAACTCCTATCGTAAATAAAGATACGAAGTCATTTTTCGTGAATTAAGTGAGCAAAAATTAAATGACTTCATACGTTTGCATACCTAGACTGATTACGACACCGTTCGGCTCCTCGTTTGCGTGGATTCATGCCGAGATGTATGAAACGTTACCATACACATTTGCGCGCGCGAAACAGTTTCTCTCATCTTTATCTCTCTCTCTTTCTTGCTCTCTCTCTCTCTCTATCTCTCTTTATTCCGTTTATCCTATAAAAGTCAGCAATTCTTGGGGCTCGGTTTATCCGACGAGCGGCGTGCCAGCCGACAAAGCCCGGTTGCGCCTCGGGGGCCAATAACGCGACGCCCCTGATATACAACCACGAAAGAGCGGCGTAAACCCCTTTGCCACCCCTTACCGAAGTCGCGTGGCAACTTTAACAGACCGTGTCTGTTAAATCGCGTTGTCATCTCCAAAAGTGATCTACTTCTTTGACTAAAAAAAAAAGCGATTTATTTCCTTCAGCTGGAAATATCGCAAAAAGCGTTTTCGTTAAAAGATAAAAAATATAGTTGCGTTTTCGTATAATTTGCTATAAAGGTTTTTAAGACATTTCGAAAGTAAGGTATAAAATAATTTAATGTTGACTAGTCTAATTAATAATCATAGATTAGATTATTGAAATTTAATTAATTTCATATGATAAAAAATCCTGATGAAGAAAGAATTTATTGTTTTACAATTTAAATG